TACAAAACTATTTCATGGTTATTTTTTGGGGTATTTTTTTCAGCTGTAAAGAAAATAAAAATCTGCATTCGTTTTTTGCGATTGTGATGGGATTAAGTAATATAGCTGTTAGTCGGCTTTCACAGACCTGGGAGGTTTGTTATTTGTGTTCTTATATCTTACTTACGCTTTGAAGTGAGTGTAAATATTTCCATTTCTATTATCACTCTCTTCAATGAACCAGTTACACAAACTGGTGTTTATTTTTCTATAAACTGTAGTTTATCATGTGATACTATGACATCATCAAAACACAACAATGACGTAATCTAAGATTTGTGGTAAATTCAAATAACTGATCATATAAAACAGTGAAAATTGTATTAATAAAAGTATCTGAATATAAATATAAGAATTAAACGTTGGTCTCACTAACATTATTGGTGTGTAAACGCTATTGACTTCGTCATTTATTCAGTTTGTCATGTGATCTAGGAATTTAAACTATTTCTATAGATATCTTTTCTATATATGACAGTGTCTCAAGAAAAGACGAGTCGTATTTTTAAACTCGGATAATTCTGGACACACATGGATTTGAAGGCTCAAATTTCAACAGTGATCTGTGAACACTATTACTGATTAGCTTAGCTAAAAAATTCCTGTTTCTGAGACTAAGGTATGATTGATTAAACGGATGGCGCATCTGTCCCTTTAAGATTTTATTTTGATTTTGTTTCAGAAATTACCTGGTAAATTTAATAAGTTATTTGCTGAGTTCGAGACGGTGATGGATCCATCTAGAAATCATCGTGTTTACAGATTAACAGTTGCCAAAATGAATCCACCAATTCTTCCTTTTATGCCTTTATTAATGAAGGGTGAGTATTGTTAGGGGTGGGGATTTTTGGGGTGGGGCGATGGGGCATGCATATTCACAATGTCAAGCTGTTATGAATTCAGTCTTATACCTTGACTGTACTAGCCACTTTTCTTGTATTACAAACTTCATCTTCACAATGTCAAGCTATTACAAACTTCATCTTCACAATGTCAAGCTATTACAAACTTCATCTTCACAATGTCAAGCTATTACAAACTTCATCTTCACAATGTCAAGCTATTACAAACTTTATCTTCACAATGTCAAGCTATAACAAACTTCATCTTTACAATGTCAAGCTATTACAAACTTCATCTTCACAATGTCAAGCTATTACTAACTTCATCTTCACAATGTCAAGCTATACTACTCT